CAAGACAGCTGCCTTGTATTTGGTCAAGCTCGTAAGTTGTTTAAGAGAAGAATAAGTGGAGAAGATTGGGGATACTATTATGGGGAAGGATGTAAAAGGTGATAAGAAGAAAGCCAAGGGGTGTGGTAAGAAGTCTTGAGAAATGTGTTTTACGTGGTCAGGATTGTTAGAAGTCTGAAGTCAGCTTAATTAATGTGACAACTTCTGATTGATGGTTTTTGTTCACAGGACTTCATATTTACACTGTATTTTCTTCTTTCTTTGTCTTCCCTCTGGAACACCATTGTCTATGTGCTAAGACAATGAACTTTGCTCTACCCATTTGGTTCTGGCTCTTTGATTCTCCAGCTCAAACAGACCCGACAGATTCAAGGGGCCTGGAAATCTGTTCAGTCTGGATTTATCCCCAGCAAAGAATTAATGTGACCCAGAACTGGATTCCTGCCTCAGAAGTCAAGGTCAGCGGTGTAGAAAGGCTGATCTGGCTGATACTTTTTCCTGGTTTGCGACACAGAAACACAGACAATACTTCCTGGTTTGTCCCTGGCTATGGAAATCCCCTTGTGGTGGTTGTGCAACAGGTGTTTGGTCCAAGGGGAAGAAATTGCAGGAATTTCAGTACAAGAGGGTTTATGCATAGCGCAAGTCATGCCTTGCTTCACAATTGTTTGTGCTGTTCTAAGTCAAAAGCAAACAACTTAGTACAATGTGTGAACAAGGCCTAATTAACCTGATTTAACATGAGCCGTAAATCGTTTGGATTGTCAACCAGTAACACAGCATCATCTGCATACAAAAGTTCATGTCTTGAGGTAAACCAGACCAGGAAACCCCAGCTCTACAAACTGGACTGGAGTTCTACTTTGTTGAGATGGGCTACAGCACGACATCTCGAAACCCTGACTCCATTTTCCCCTCCCTCCCTCTTATACCCCATGGAGGGTGGGGGGGGAGCCAATCTGAGCTTCTTCCTATTTTTTCTTTGTTTCCTGGTTTCAAGCATGTTTGTGTACATGTTGTTTTAACCATCTACATGTATATTCATGTAGTGCACCTCTAATGTCATCAGAAGCATTCATTATTCATTTATTCATTAATACGTTAAACCAGTATTTCTCAACCTTGGCAACTTGAAGATGTCTTGACGTCACAGCTAGCTGGGGAATTCTGGGAGTTGACATCCAGACATCTTCAAGTTGCCAAGGTTGAGAAACACTGCATTAAACAATCAAGGATATTGTCCATCCTCGTCTTCTTCCCTGTTCAAAGCCAAACTATTCACTAAGCATTCCATTTATTTCCACATAACATTTTTCTTCCACCTATACCAGTCATATCACATTCTGAGAATGCCTTGATGGTGGGGTTTGCACAACACACAGATACACCTTTCACTGAACCGTATTTTATCCAATTTCCCCGTTCCCAATTTGCACACGTATTAAGCTAGCCTTACAACTGTCCCCAGCCCACGGAGACTGAAACAGAACACAGTTTGGGGATTGTGCTGATGGAGATCAAACAGGTCCTCACCTCATCCCGATGAAACTCCACCACAGACTCAACTGCTGAGCATCAACTTCATTAATGAACTACTCCCAGGCCATTCAGTTATACTGAAGGCCACTATATGATTTTTGGCCATCTTTTCTATTGACTTTTTATCCAGATCACCACTTCTGTGAAGTTTGATGTGAACTGGGAGTGTTAATGCCAACACAGAGAAAATGACACAGCTGTACTCCATAGACAGTTGTGGAATGTCTATGAATGTCCCACATAGATGACATGGATTATAGCCTGCTTAACGTGTTTTTCAGGCAGAAAGTCCAAATTTCATCTTTGCTCTTTTAAATAATTGATCAGAGCAAAGACAAGGTGCTTAGACAAGTGGGTAAAAGAGGTCTCTTTCACCAGGCTCTTATTTATTAATTAATTAATTTTCTCTCAGTGTATGTTTTTATCAGGTTCCTAATTGCATTTATGTTGGTTTTAGTTTAATTTTCTGTTTTTGCAGTTTTAGTTTCATTTAGTTTAGATTAGTGTAGCTTAACTTTTCGGTTTTACTGTTGCAAACTTCTTGATTATCATATAGAAAGGCAGGGTATGAATCCAATAATAAATACAATCTTTAAAATCTCCAGGAGTATAACAAAATTTTGTGCCATCATTTGCTGGTTAGCAGAATTCAAAGTTTCACCTTTGGTAAAAATCTGTGCCTCCTTTTAAGTTCCAGGCTTTATGTCAACTCTTTTATTCTGTCCATTTATTTACTTTTTTCAGTATTTTTTGCAAAGGTCTTTTGACCCAAATTATAAACTGAACTAAACACTGGAGGCTTTTTCAGTGGCAGTGAAAAAGGAAAAGTGTAAGAATAAGACTATAATTTCAAATATTATTATTTTAATGATATTAATTTAATAATATGAATTTAATAACAATATTAATTTCAAATTATAGTTCAAATAATACAAATTAGCTTAAGTGGTTGTGAATTACCTATGAAATATATATCTAATATATATGAATGTACCAATAGAAGAGAATATGTGTAGCTCAGGGTTGAACTGTGGAGTCCTTGGGGTTCTCTGATCTTGGTTGCTTTCTTGCAGAC